TCACATATAAATATGATGTGCTGGTCCACCGAACCTTGTCTTCTGAGGAGATTTTATTTAAGTAATGATAAAACACTGCTCTTAATTATTGGCCCTATATGTTTGCTGTAAGGATACTGAATGATAACTAATGTCTGCTTATTTAAGAGAAAGACAAAAAATGACTCTTCAAATAATTGCAGCCTGGCATTTACCATTATTATATTGGTACAGGTACTTATTTTCATTTTTTTTTAATTAATTTTAAAGGTGTTACCCATTATATCTCAACTGGATCAACTGAGAGTTCTTAATCTATCTGGCAACCCTCTTGGTACTGATGAAAATGATGAGCCATCACTTGAAGGTCTTGATAAATCCACTTCAATCAAGAAACTTATACTCAACAACACTGGAGTGACACTGACGTTTGTGTACTCATTGTTGGAATGCCTAACAGGGTAAGTGGAGCCATTTTTTTTGTGACAAGGGTGGTACACCTTCTCTGCTAGGTTGATAGTATMCAGGGCAAGTGCATGTTGCTTGTCTTGTTTACTTGTAGTATTATTTTCCTTTAAATTCAATTAACTTTATTATTATCGCAGAGTGGATGAGCTTTTCCTTAGTCTAAACGGATATTCTGGTATTCCAACCACTGATAAGACCTTCCCAAACATCACAAATCTCTACCTTAATGAACACTGCATGAAAGAATGGAACCAGATCATGGCCATTGGGAAAATCTTTCCTCAACTAGAACAGCTCACAATGACAGATTGTCCCCTGGAAATGGTGCTACCTGAWAAAGCTGGTGAGCACTTCCCAAAACTCAAAGTACTACGCCTGAACAAGACTGCTATTTGTGATTGGAGTAGYATTGATGCTTTAAATGCATTTCCATCTCTTATGGATGTTAAGTTTATTGGCATACCATTGCTGGAAGATGACAGAGAAGAGACTCGCCAACTTGCGCTTGCAMGATTACCCAATGTTACAAAGATTAATGGAGCAAGAGTAGGTGAAAAGGAAAGAGAAGATGCTGAACGGTTTTTCATTCGTTATCACATGGATGATGCAAATCCCCCCAAACGTTACCAAGAGTTGATTAAAGTTCATGGTGTACTTGATAGACTAGCTGAGGTCAACTTAGGCCCTCCTACATCGGTCAAGCTTTCTATCATCTATGAAAACCAGTCTCCATTAGTAAGAGATGTACATTTGAAACAGACAACAAGAGATTTCAAAAAATATCTCAGTAATGAATTGAGTCTTCCAACATCCAAGATGAGAATCTATTATCATGATATTGATACTTTATATGGACCAGAGGAGATGAAATATTTGGACAGAACCTTGAGTCGTTATAATATGGTGGATGGCGATGAGATATTAATCTATAACAAAGACTTGGATCGATAGCTTAATGTTCAGTCAATATTTGAGTTGTTTGCAGGGTGATGTTCAGCTAATAAACATTAATTTTTGTATTTTTTTCTGGAATGAAGAGTTATAAAAAGTCATATTTTTCTTTCTTATATGTGATGGTCCAGCTGTAGGTTATATATATGGACTGGGCCTGTTTGAATGAATTTATTTGCTTAAAATGTTTCACTTGGGAATAATCTTTATAAAACTGTACATAAAGAAATTTAAAGCTAATTATTAATAAATAATTGTGCATTACTTATGTTTTATTCAATATTGTGTAAATAGTTCCATTTGTGAAAAATAAACAACACATTGTTCTAATTTTGCTGATCAATACATCTGAAAGAAACATCAGAAAAGTGATTAAAAATAATCACTATCTTCAGGAATATGGAGTTCTGCATAATAGAGCAGGTTTTGTATGACTGTGCAAAGGCACGGATCACAACACGGACATGGCATGGTCACGGAACCTCGCCCGGTAGTGATCCAAATAAAAACAAGGAACCAAGAATACATCACTGTCAAGTCATGGTACAGACATGGCACGAAAGTGCAGTATTTTTTGCACAGTCATACGAAATCCGCTCTAATACACAGCGTTTTAAAAATTGTTGGGTTGCAACCAGGAATCCCATGGGAAAATAACAAACATACTGCCTTCATTTTGGATGAATGATGAAGTTCTTTTTGTCCACTGTGCATGGCAGCTATAATGTAATGTGCAACCCATGAATAGAAATGTTGGAATTACACATGATGAACTAATGATGTACAACAATGAATTGTGGCATCTATATTACAGAGACATTGCATGTCATTTCTTCATCTGTTAGCTTGTGTTCATCACAGTTGCCTGGAAGGTTTGCAGAATATTGTTTTAAATTAAAAGTTGCCACTTTTATTGTATGTTATTGTACAATTTCACCTCTTGTATAGAACTTTTATTGTGCCTCTTTTTCCCTCTTGAGTTCCCTCTTGATGGCCTATGAAATCCTCGGGAGGACCCTCGGCCAAAGCAAATGGTTCTAGGTGGTCTAGTGACAAAATAATAATGCAAAACTATTCAAGATGAGTTGTGACTTTACAAAATACTAGGTGACATGACAAACCTGGGTTTAGGATTACTGTGATGTTTATGTCCAGAATTTGACTGCTGAAGAGGAGAAAAATGTTGATTAATAATGCGAGAACCAAAAAAATATTTTATCAACAATAAAAGTAGAAAGGCAAGATTTAGTTCTTTAGATTTTCCTTGCAATATTTCTTTCTTGACAAAACTACATGATTTATCGAAGAAACAACTTACAGAATCGTATGGTTCTGTCTCCATTAAAGTTTCATTTGAATCTCCAGTAGATTGCTCCTTATTTTCACCATTTTGTCTGTTACAGAATTGAAAACACAGTCACTTTTATTGCATTCTTGAAGTAATATGGCTAGAGTATAGCACTCAATAAAAATATATTTTCCCAACCTTCTCAATTTCCGTTGAGTTCTACTTGGCCTGTTAAATCTAAAGTCAGAGGGATATTTGTGCACTTGAACAAGATGTTTCTAAAAAAATGTGTTAAAAGACCTTAGTAATATTATAATCTTATGACACTTAAATAGCATTTAAGTGTATTTTTTTAGAAGACAAATTTCATGTGCCATCTTGAAATAGTTTCCAAAAAGAATTTATTTTTCATTTACACCTTTCTATCATCTTCTCCTCCAAACTTATCAGGACAAGTTTCAACCAGACATCTGTACTGAAAGGGAAGTATATATGCCATTAAATATTCTAATTTATTAATAGTATTGTAAGATTATTTTTTTTAGTATTGTAAGATTAATATATTATGAAATTACAAAGTTTTACAAAGTCTGAATCCCGCACTCAACACAACACAACATGTAGCACTCTACCAGTCCTAGTCTATGCCACCATACATGATATCACTACATGTAGCACTCTACCAGTCCTAGTCTACCCCACCATTACATGATATCACGCAATTATATAACTGATCAACTCTCCTTACAGAATTAATATTAATAGAATATTTGCTGATGATTTTAATTGAGGGCTAAATTATGAAATTTAAGACAGGGTTAAATTTGGAGCAATGCCCTGCCTGCGCTCGCTTGATGGACTGCTTGCAGTTGGATTGCTAGACACAGTTTGTTTTAGATTTCACCAATCATTGGCTACTAATGGAATGGCAGGACATTCTGCTTGGACAAGTGCTATGTAGGTCAGTGTAAAGTGCAGTAAAGTGCATGCAGTGGCCCTAAGCTGTGCAGCTGTGCACCTGCCCAGATCATTGCATGTTCTTAATTTGCTGCCCCCACCCACCACTACCTGGTAAGGATATGTATGTATCATTTTTGTAGTCTTTGGACCACAAATATTCTACTCCATGACTGAATGAAAACATGTACAAAGTATTTTTACCATAAATTTCTTTGTAGCAATCATCTGGAATAAAGTATCATGATTCTCCAGGATATGTAAATCCAATAAAAAACTTGTCTGGAATGATTTCCTGCAAAATCTACAGCTATTCCAGTGACAGCCTCTGTAGTGAACTTCATACCTATAAAAGTTGGAAAGTGTTCATTTGGTTACTCATTAAGTATTTCTTCAGAGGCAGTTTAAAGCAAAAATATACTGTTTATTGGAACATTTTTTTTAGTAATTTCATAAATGAATGAATGGATGATAGAATGGATGGATAAATAGAGAACAATTAATTTTATAACTATACTAGAAAGTGTATATTACTGTTCTTTGTTCTCAAATTACTGCTTTGTTTAGTATATTAAGAATAAAGTTTTATCTTACTTTTTGATATTTACAAAATATTGATTGCAACCAGCCACGGAGCATTTGAATTCCTTCGACGACCTGCAATGCAAAATAGTATTTAACAATATATCAATAAACTGCCTTAGTTTTATACCATACAAGTGCAAGAAATAAATTACCATTCATCAAGGTCTTCTATTTCATTGCAGTTGATTTGTTTTCGTTGAAGATTGCACTGAATGTTACCTTCCTGTAGACAGAACAAGCATGTCATAATCTTTAAAGGTTTTTTTCTACAGAAAAAAATAAATGAAGTACCTCAAAGAAAGCATCATCTGGACAAAACAATCTTTTGAAAGGATGATAGCACCARCTCAAAGTCATTTTGGTACTTATAGAGTGCAAAAAGACATAATAACATATTGATTTTGCAAGTTGATCAAAATTCAGCCRTCTTATTCGGCGGCCATATTRACACCACAGGTATCCCATAAAATTATAAAGGGAGCCCAATATTAACGGATGTAAGTTGAAAGGTGCACGAATTTCCATATTGCGCTCTGGATTTGATTGATTTTATTAGCAACCAAATACAGTCATTGAAACTGAGCAGAAATTGGGAATGAGTTGGATCACGGTTGATGGGAGACTCCTCCACTACTAGCCTCCTTTGCAGACGTTACACCGTACTATTGGTCMKACGTTCCCTATTGATAACCGATACTAATAACGTCTGCAAAAGAGGCTACTCCGCTATTATRTCTGGATGAAGAATATATATATGACAACTAATAGAAGATAAATAGAATAACAATTTATTTATGGAAATAATCAAATTCAATATTTTCAGTGCTATTCCATTATAAAGAAAAGCAAAAGAACCAAAAAAACTTTAGAGTCGTTCAATATTATTGACAAATTAGGTTTTGCGCACCTTTCGCTAAAAACGACGTCTACTCGCCCGTGAAATACTTCAAAGCCTCTATACTCGCCAGGCGAACAAATTGACGGTTCACGCCATCAATAAAGCGATTCTCTTTTTAACATTTTTGTGTCGCATTAGTTTTAAGTAACCACCATTGCAGACGTTCCATGTGTAGCTTGGGACTCCCTACAAAATGAACTACATATAACGTCTGCAACGTAGGTTCGATGGGTCAACAAACTGGAAGCACCACGTGACCAAAAAGCAAGGCAATCAGTCACGTGCTGTTTTCTCCAGTAAGGAAATACTATTTATAGAGATAAACCTTAAGCCGTGAAATTTCTAAGTAGGAACTTTTGAACAATCAGAGGTAGCCATTTATAGCACCTTTCTGTTCTACTCAGTTTAGTGATTGTATCATGGTTTWARTGCGCTTAAAAGCAATTTGGGATACGCCTTCCAAACATCTGAAAAGGTCAAAATGATTTATTACACTCCTCTCGGGTTATCCCATAATTATAAAACATGTTAATAGCTTTCTACAATGTGCTTTTGCAACTATTACTCAGTTACCATGAATGTTCCTAATTATCTTACTAACTCTGTTATCAAAAAATATTTTTTCATAATGAAACGAAACCAAACGCGGATATAGCTATAGAATTCAAAAAAGAACACACTGCGATCCGGCATTTCTGTATAAAATTAAAAGCAACTTAACAAAACGGTGCTCCTTAAATAAGTCGATGAGCTAGAGAGCAAATATTTTTTACATCCATGTCCCTGAAAAGAAACGCGAAATACAGCTGTGCACTGTGCATAGCAGGAAACGTCAGAAACGCAGGCTACCAACAGGTTTTATAAAGAAAGAGAACTGATGAAAAATTGATCGTAAACTACTCCTAAAGATCTACCCATCCGAGGAAATCCCGTTTTGTTAAGTTAAAATAACAATTTTTCTTTTAAATAACTAGCATGTCGGTGAGGTCTTTAATTCACATCTGAAGCAGACCTCGCAAAATTGCACAGGTCARTCATCTGTCGTAAAGTTTTAACTGTCTTGGATGTGAATCAACTAACTCAATTATAGTATCGAACTTTGTGCTAGGCGTGCTCCAGTGATTGCAAGTCTTTCGTCGGGTCCAGACCCTTTGTACGATCTAGGGAGGGGAGGGGTTCGAGTGTTCGCTGGCATAGAATAGCGACTCTCTTCTGGAATTGATTTACAATTGAATACAGGCGACGAGTAACGTTGTGTTGGTAAATCACGTTGGTTTACGTTGTCATAAACAGAAACAGGTCGATTGTCATATACTGACAACGGTCGCTTTTCTGTCGTSACAGAATTGTGTGACGTCTCGTCACTATGACTTCCGGTAGAAGCTCTTCTCTGTAAAGATGAGTCCAATGATACCCTTCCATCCGTATAGAAAACACTGTGCTCTGAAGTAACTTTCTTAAAAGACGTCAACACCGGATGTCGGCGTATCTGAGCGCCGGCACTTGGCAAACGTTCCCGTGATCCTTCACACGTAATCGGAGCACTACCTCGTTTCAAAGACGAGGCTTTATTGAAAACATTGGAGGCACCACTGGTAAASGAATAGCGATGTTTTGGTTTAGGTGATTCGGTTTGAGTTATACTAACTATTTCAGCTCTATTTGACCTCCGTGTAGGAGGTACTGGCTGTCCTCCTTGTTTAATAGTTCTGATWCGYGCATGTCGACTTGGAACCGTGTCGGCCGACAGGTTGTCAGCACTGTGAGCTTGCCTYAAGGATTCTTGGTGAATCACAGGATTGTAGTCCCCAATATCACTTGAAGGACTTTCAACATTATCCTCTATTGGGTTCTCTTTACTCACAAAGAAAAATGTTCCATTATCAGTTTCTTGTGCCTTAGTTATTGTGGAGGGGAAGCTTTTGGTTCTATTAAATATTCCTCTMGAACTCCGGTTGCTAAAAGTTGATACTTCACTCTCCGGTCGGCGGGTAGTGTGGGGCTGGTACGGTTCTCCTAATTCCTGGCGTGGTTCTTCCTTAATAGTATCGGAATATTTYAGATTCAGAGATCGAGGTGGTGGTGGWCGRGGWGGTGGTTTGTTGGGTACACTACTCGCACGTGCTCGGGCTTCTTCAAGCGTGATCAGTTTAGTAGCTGGAGATACAGAGATACTTGCTAGCCTCAGGCCTAGAGTACCAGGGGCTACTGCATCTGTCAGAAATAAAAAAATGCATGTAAATCAATTGTTCAGAAGGGAACTTTGGAATAAAAGAGAAAATCCCATAAGGAATTGATCACAAAAAACCTCTGCTTCTAAGGCCGAWATCTAAACATAGTAAATTTAAAGTGTTCAGTGAATATACAATGAAATGAAACAAAACCAACCTGCATCGAAGYTCAGACCATGATGTGGTCCTCTTTCTTGTAGAGTATTATACTGGGGATTTGAAACAATAGCTTTCGAAGCAGCATTCATATCAAACAATTCCTCCGTGTTCCTKATCAAAAACTCCACCAAAATAGCCTGAATGTTGATTTCCAACAACGCCGTGTTTCCGTAGTCTGGGTTACGTGGACTGAGGAGGTTTGGTGCCCAAACAATAGCAAGGTTCTTAGCATGCATTCCAGTCTGACTTGAGAACGAGGCTATACGTGACAAATGACGTAATAGATACTCCAGGGTGCGGAAATGGGGAGGAGGAAGCTGTTGAATCACGTGATGAATGGCGATTTTGCGCTGCTCTTCCTCTGTGATGTTGATTGCACTCTAAAAATAACATCACTTATCGTTATTATTTCAGKTATCAATAAAAAACTCAAATAGTTTTATATCGATCAGGAATCATTAATATTGTGTTTACTTTGAGTAATATAGTACGAAARAAACAATCGAAAACTCACCACGAATTTATCATAAAGATGGAAGGTAAGGAGAGGATTTGGCAGTTCCCTGCGGACGACAATGTATTGATAAGAAAATGACACCTTTAGACGTCAAAAGAGCCTGAACAAACCTGAAGTAGGTCTTTAGCAAAGCACTGATGCAATGGACATCTCGTAGATAAAACTCTGTATTTAAGTCTGGTGGGGTTTCGCTGTCAAACGCCAACCTGTTAATAAAGAGATGATYAAYGCCGTTGATAATGATGATAATGGTAATCATTAGTATGATGACGATGATGATTGAGYATGTTACCGTATTTTCTGTATAGTAGAGGTAGAGCCGGTTAAACGGTATATTCCATCGATGACACCATGTTCTTCGATRACAGCTGAACAAGCCTCCAATACCAATGGAACTATAATACAATAACAACATATGATWTATCACGCCAATTGACCATTTGAACACTATTAGAAACAGAAATAAGGCAGAAATACTGTACAAAATACCTTGTCGAGATGTTTGCGCCAAATGATCTCCTAAATCACAGCCAAACGTACGTTCCCTGTGAAATGAAGATATGATTTAATTGCATTCAAAATACAATCAATCAGTTACGCACTGTAACAAGCCATATGTGAATGCGTCMACGATATATGCGMACCTTACTGATTCTGTAACCACCACTTTTAGTCTCAGAATCGCAATCGTGCTCACAATCGCGTTGAAATGAACGTGTGGGTGTGGTTAAATGTACTTACTTTAAAATTCCACTTTGCATTAGCCTTGCTCTGGTAGGTCTCGAYGATAAAAACAGCCTTAAAAAGCTCATCAATTTACCACGCTTTTTGGCAACTACAACAAATAATTGGATTTAGTGACATCCAAAGAATAGTGCATTGTAGGAGCGCGTATTCGAGGTGGTCGTTGTGCGACACTTACCTGGTTTCATGTGTGTGGTCTTTCCTGGTCCATGGGGAATAGGATGATTGTTGGCCATTTCACCGATAACTTCAACACACTGACTTGGAAAAAACCCAACCTGAACAACAAATGAACATGCGCAATACGTAAAACATGGGCCAAAACATGACCTAACATGTGCTGCCTCTTTTCTAAGAGAACAATAACAAATTCTCCGAACAAAAATTCTTTATAAAATACAATTCACTTCTAATTCTCTCGTTTTTCGCACGTGATAATATCCGTGAATCACTTTGCAGACTGCTGACACATGTGCGCAGTGCTAAGTGGATAGCAACTYTCCGGGCTTTCACAGTTGATGAAATTGAATGCAGTTTATACCTCGTAACCTCGTTTTCCTCTCCACCAGATACTCTCATCGACTGGAGGCATATCTATGATGGAAATGATGTCTCCCACCTACAAAACAAAACAAGATCAGACGCTGACTTTGATCTTGTCGTATTCTATTATATGCGTGATTCTTGTCGTACAAATTGTTGTACAACTGGTGTAGCTGAAGTGCTAATATATATACATTCCTCATGTAGTTCATATCAGGTGTTATATCCCACCCATGCACGAGTGGCATACCARTATTCACTCCACCCATAMAATATGCATACCGGTKTATAKTACTAAGCATTACTTTAAGATCCGTTGACAGAGGCAATGCAACATTTGCAGTAACTTTGTTGTAGTTTTGCGATGTTTTTGCCGTATTGTTAAACAAAATAACACAACAAAGCGTTGTGAATCTATGCTTCAAACCAGTGGAACCTTTTTTGTAGTCTTATTGTCGAGGAGGAAACTACTAAGGTAATATAGCAAGAAATGATGATCATTTCGGGACACAAATTCGCACCAAAAATCGCTGCAAAAATGACATGTGTTTTCGGAACAAGTCGWTGCAAATGCCGCATTGTATGATGGGGTTGCCGGAAAATAAATAGCATTATAAACAATGGATATCTTAGTGAAGKCGTCTAAGTCACTTCGCCTTTCTTGTCTATGTTTTCGGAATATATAAAGATATTGAGGATATATGAAGATATTGAGGAGTATTTCTTATCCACAAGCAATCTGCCGGGATTAAGGGTCAAACTAAATATCCACTGCAAAGTCAAAGACGTAGGCGTTTTACATAAAACAACGTCATCTCTGACGTCATATTGATTTGCTAGCATAGACTTAAGAGTCAATTTATCGGATTTCCCAAGTAGAATTGGATACATATTATCCAGTGTGCTTTAGACAGTCGAATTGTGCTAATCCACGTATCCTTAATCTCGTCAATAAACAAGTAATTTTTAATTGAAATTCATAAAAGCGACCACATGGAAGGATGGAATGTTAAATATGAGACACCACTCTTTGACATAAAAACTTATAGTACATTCGGTTAAATTGCTCTAAATTAAGGAAATTAACCGACTACTGGTACCTGCAGTGATGAGATACAATTGAGATACACCTTGTTTTGTTATTCATTATAGTTTGTAAAAATACAAAGTCATCCATCAAGAGTCTATCAATTTGTCTATTCACGACTGAACAGATACGAGTATTTCACTTTTAGTTTTAGAGCCAATCGTGTAAGACATTAACCCCGGATCACATAATCTAGCAACACAGGCAGTTGCGGGTTTCTTGAACACAGATCGCCGAAAACCGCAAGCTGAAAACACGAATAAAGGCCAGTGAAAATAAGGTGTGCATCTTTCTAGTCTCACTAATCTCTAGAATTATTAATATAAAATGCAACCACAACTTATCATAATAATATACAGAATATTTCATTCAAGCTATACTTTCTAATAACATCACGATATGGCACCAAAAACGTACAGGAATTTACATCTTGATGCACAAGTACAAGGATAAAATGATAAAACAATATTTTGGAACAGCTCAGTCAACGATATAGATCCAGCTGGAAAACAATACACACCATACAGCCAACATATACTACAATAGTGAACGACATACCCCATGTTCGTAACATCACCGATARCAACCTCGTTTTTAAGCTCAAAAGACCAAAGCACAACCTTATTGTAAACACAGGTTTTCTTTCACARTAAGCCCCGACGCGCCTTTGGCGGATATTTTTGCTGATGCCCCACCGCGAAAGAGCATGACTAAATAGATTCGAGGTCAACACTGATAAGGGTATTATCCAATAGAAAGGCAAGAATTTGACCGCTATAAAACAACCAATTAAGGATGGGGTAAGGAGATCATGAGTGATAATTGACAGCTGACTGTGACGTAGCTCAGTTCACAAATGTCACGCGAAATCACGTTAATTTATATAAAACAGAAAGATTTTGAATAATTTCTATTGTATAGCTTATACATAAACACTTCACATTTTTGCTTCCTTTCTATAACATTTAGAATATACAACTCGCTCTAGGGGCTAAGAAAGTATAAAATCGAGCAACGTCACAGGTATTACAGAGACCATAGTGCGGTGCTGTTCACAAGCTATTTCTATTTGCTAATAAAAACCAGTTCTCAAAAACGGATTTCACAATAACGTTAAAAACGTCTAGCAGTACACCTGTTGTTTGAAAACGTTCATCAAATCAGTGAAAAGGAATGAGAAAATCGCAAAATCAAAAGACTACTTTTGAGATGCGCTGTCAACTTGGATCATAGTTAGTATCATACTAACTATGCTTGGATAGCGAAACTCCTTTACTTTTCATCTCAATATACCTCGTTTTAATGCGCCGTCTGCGATATTTTTTAATATGCAAAGCGCGCGGGTATTTTCGGGAAGTTTTTGGGGACGAAACCTCTCTAGCTGCTATGATCATCTCGCTCTGCTAGTGGGTGTGCGTGAGTTAAGAACATTTATGAGGTTTAGATTGTCGATAAGAGGAGAACATACTCAACATACAATCATACATACTTCTAATGATATTTCATCAGCCCCTTGTGCTGTGTATCTCTTGATGACATGAGCAGCAGCAACCGCTGGCACATTGATAGCGGATTCGTCAGTCAATAACAAATGGTTGCCATGGTTATCAAGCTGTCAATCAAACAAACCCAGAAATTGATATGAGTTCGGAAATTAATTTTTCCAAATTTATTCCTAAGGGTCTTTCTCCTGGAATTGCCTTATTCTAAGCACTATAACTTTCAGTTTCATTTCTAAACCCAGAAATCAATAAGATATTAGAAACAATAATAAAGCATTATAATCACTGTCATCATAAGTGAATATACTAAATTTTAACAGTATCCCATCATTAATAGTAGTAGCAGTAATACATTCTATCATATCATTATCATCATGATCATTATTAATAACCAATTATAATTACCTCAAACCAGTTTAGAACAGGACCACAATTGAAGTTAATGTTATCTGTAATTTCCGATAGGCGCAACAGGTATTCATTCAAAATGCCTTCTACTTCCTAAAAGAGTCAATAGACTTCATTAGCTACCTCTGCAGTCATTGTGATTCTATCTATTTTTGGGCTTCCTGTGTATAAATTGGGAGGAGTGGGTCAAAAGGAGTCCAAGTCCCTAGTCTCTAACTGTCAATATGATCATTACAAAGGAAACCCAAAGGAGGAAAGACATCCAGAACTATGATGAGACTAGCAGGTCATGTATGGTCAGTCCATACAGATCAAATTCAAGACTAATAGCAATTCAAAAGAGGGAGGGTTACTGTTAGTGTGTGTCTGTTGTCTGTTGGTTGGTATGCTGAGAATCATAACTCAATGAAAAGACATCATCAAATAAGACTTCATGTTCTTACTGCAGTGCGTTGCTGGTCATCAAGAATGTCCACTAAACATGGCAGCTGACTGACTTTACGGTCAAACAAACACCTGGAAATCAATAATGTAATGAAGTGTTGTTATATAACCATAGTCAAAGGATGTCAAGATCTTTTATATATTACAAGAAGGATGCTATTCTCACATAAAAAAGGTCCAAAAACCAGCTTAAAATGTATGTATGGTATAACATTTTGGCTATTACTACAGAATAATACTCACCTGTGGATTTGTCTGTCCAATCCAGTAAAGTTTTCTACATTTCTTCTTATATTCCATGACTTCTCCTTACAAGTTACACTCACCTACAAGATAGATATCACTACCAAGTGAGAAATCATTAACCACATTAGGTTAYCATCAGCCACACATTCCCTTGYATAATCAACCATCTGACAACCTATAGCTATATGTGCTACCATTTGTTGCTTTAATTATTACAGAATGTAGGAAAATACCACTTACTATAAATCCTTCCACTGAAGGTTTGCCACTGAAGCTATTAGAGCTTTTAAGCAGGGAAACCTGTGGTAAATACAATAAGAAAACAAGAAAATAATAGATAATTTAATAAATATGAATGTTTGCAAAAAATTGAGTTTTGCAATCTCTTTTACACTACAGGTGTTAGCTTCAATTGTGTCTAAAATATGTAGAAATTTAGATAAAACTTGTGCGATTTCACTCTATTATATTTTCATTGTCTTATAATTCTATCCTCACAGATCTCTTGGATTTGCACGGGCTGTTACAGAATAAAAGAATGAGGCTAACAAAGTGTAAAAGAGACCGCTAAAAGGGTTTATTGATAACTTTAAAAATTTAATTATACAATCAAGGTAAATAAATATAAGCTATAACTAGCCTCCTCCACAGGCAACTCTTTTTTCCTCCTTTGGGCTTCCTTTGYAACGGKCATTTTGGCCGTTAGGGACTAGTGACGAGATAGCAAAAATAAAAAGACAGGAAGCCCGTGATTCTTAGTGATGCCTGCGGAGGAGGCTAAGCTATACCATAACATAACCAATACGCAATAGCCATACCTGAATGGGAGTACCTAGATCGATTTCATCATAGTGAAAATGAGGCATGTTCTCAATTCTAGGAAACCTAGACTTCCCATCATATAACCTTGAAGAACAAAAGAGATGTCATACTCTTATGGTCATCATCCATTAGGAAATCTACGCACTTTATATTGTAACTTATTTATAGTGAACATCATTTTCAAACATCTGCTTAGTATTATTTTATTCATTTATTCATAATTTCATTTGGCCATTCATTAAAATGTTCATCAATCTTTCCATTTCCATTCATATATTCATCCATTCATTTATTCATTCAGTTACTCACTCAGTCAATTAATCACATTTTCATTAATTCAATTCCATTCACTTATCCATTTGCTCATCCAACCATATATTTTTCCATAACTTTCTTTTATTTCTATATCATTGTATTCTTCTATTTGTTCATTCATCCACTGTACATATTTGCGTATTTATCCATTTCTTTGTTTCATTTGTTTATTCAATAGTCATTCATTTAATTATTCAGCTATCAAATATCTATGTTCATTATCTATTTATTTCAATCAATTACCTGCGAAGACTCATAAATGTACCAGTCTTTTCACTTCCTGCATTCAAATCTCCCTAAATAAATTAAACAGTGCAACAAACATATGATAAATATATTAGAATTGTACTATTTTGTATCAAGAGAAATGATATCACCACTTGGATAAAAAAACAGTTAAAAATTTTTATGATATAAAATACTTACGCTTATTATTGGTGGTACAGAAGTGGAATCAAAGTTGATACTTCTGCGAAGATTGTTTTTACATCCATCATCTACAGATAACCTTTTTAATTTTCTGTTACCCCTGCATAGAAAAAACACATGACAATTATCTAATCATGAACCAAGCACATGATGACAGGATAAAGATGCATAACCGCTTAATATAAACCTGCTGCTGTTTCAACTATTAACAAAGTGCATCACTTTCCAAATATATAAATAGATCAAAAATATCTAGATACCTCTTGAGTACTGCAAAATCAATATAATGCAGTTATTACTTAGACCAAAAGTACTGTAAAAAGTATTAAATTTAAATTGTTATAATACATTGTTTTTAAATTTTGCTGGTTCAGTAAGAACAGTCAGAGGGCTAAATTTACTGTCATCATATATGACTATTAATTTAGTGCTTAATTCATACCTTAATTGATTGTTTAATTGATACTAAGAAAAGTCCATTCAGAACAAATACTATTCTCCATTATTTTATCAAAGCTAAAATTAATGTTTGATTACAATCTATAATTATAGTACTATCAGTAATAATTAAATAATATCATACTAGATGATTATACATATGAAATATTTTCCATGATGGACAATAACAGTACAACTCTATTTGATTTTGAACAATATAAATATCACCAATCTATAAAGAATTAACTAGAAATAACCTTTAGTTAAATACCTTGGGATATGATAACTTAATGATCTTCGTAATCTCCCTGAAAATCCCATTTGATAAAGCATACAGTCCAAAGGACGGTGCCTAACTGATATCTATATCACAATATTTCTGTACTGTGATCTGATAGTGCTGTTTCACTTTGCCCTTACATTCCATATATGGTAATAATTATATTCATCTTTTGTCAAAAAAACTTCCCATTTTAAAACTGATTGCTCATGTATTTTTTATTCTTAAATCATTGGATCACCACAAGACTGATTGCAAAATGGAATGCTAAGTAAGCAATTATACTTAATAATATCTTGCTTCAAAATTATTTGGAGAATTATTGGTATTTTTAAATTTATTTTAAACATTGCATAACATTAATATACTAAGACTAAAATAATTTGATGCATTTTTTGAATTTTCTATCAAACTCAACTTCATTAATTATACAAATTCAAGATTTATGAATATCTTCAAGAAGTAAATAAATATAATCAGTGTCTTAATAATCTAAACCATTATTATTGAACAATGTAATCAACATGTATTATATAAAATCAGGTTCTGTTTTTTTTTATAGATTTCTTAAGATCACTTGATTAACACAAGAAAGAAATTTAGGTCTCAGAAAAATAGCTTCAAGAGAGTTTAGTCCTTCAATTAAACAATGAACATTATGCTTAGATCAATATCCTTAGAAATATACAAATATGTTTAATTATATACATGCCATAGAATACCATACCTGCAGGATAAGCAAGAGCTTTAAAGTTCTGTATTTCAATATAAGTGTTATATTTATTAGTTATTTATTTATCACATGATAAACATACAGGCAGTGACTCACAGTAGATACCAATATTAGTTAATAGCAGATACATAAATTAGTTAGTAATGAATAAATACTTTTATATTGAAGTGTCAATAGATTGTTCCTGTGCAACTAATTCAAACATAAATAATATTTATGTATTTAATATATTTTATTTTTATCTTATCATCATTTATGAGTTATAGTCTATAGCTTGCATGCATGTTAGGAAAATTGAAACAAGACAATATTTATAAGAAAGGTATAAAATATAAGATCTTAAGTCCATTAATAAAAAAACCATTTCCCCAGATCTTCAGCCTCCATCCCCTCCCCCTCCCTCCAAAGCCAATTTTCCAGAAAAATGTCATTTTTGAGTGCTTGTCTGGAAATTTAGAGTCCTATTTTAAAAACATGTTTTCTATTATATAATTTTGAGAAATACTAATCAGTAGAATGAAAGCAGTCATATAACATAGATAATGAACATAGATATCTCCTGGGTCAAATTTATTTCCCAACAGCACAAGTTTCTTGTCTTGGAGATTCTTTAAAATCCTAAATACTTAGAAAGGATTACTGAAAGTGATGACAATTATTCAATGTCAATTTTATGTCTTTACAAAGAGTGTCATCAACAGTATCAAATGTGATGCATTAATGATCATGCAATCTGAACACTCCACCACAAATGATGACAGCATGACCTGTATTGTACATGGGTTATGCATGGCCAACACAGTAATGACTCTTTTAACAACGTCATTGTAAAATATTGATTCGTATTTTAATCTTGGAAATTGGATTTAATTTATCAGTCTATACATACTACATCTATTATAAATACCTAGGCAATTTGAAATTCAAAATGAAAATATAAGCCTTTTTATTTTCATACACCTATTTTTTCATAAAAGATCTACTTTATATTTTTTGATTATTTTGGTTTTTAATAGATTTGGAATTAGAAATATCTAGAATTTTCGTGTTAACTGTTATATTTCTTTCTGAAAGAAATTATTAACAGATTCAATACTACACAACCTACGATTTCAGTCAAAGGCTTCGAAACCCAACCTTCGAAGACAGAAACACTCCGATCYGTGGACACTGTCAAGTCTACATCAACGTAAAATTTTCTTTGACCTTTATACATGTACAGGATACAGAAACACACGTATTAAGAGGTTTCTTTTACGATAAAACACACAGTTGAAATTTAGAAATAATATGGAAGYCCTTGGCTATCGGAATTTCTGTATTGTACAAGAAAGAGATAAACTTTTTTGGTTGACAGAGCACGGCCATTGAAYGCGCTCAAAAAAGTTTAATCAGCATTATTCGCTTAATATTGGCAAAAAACTCTATTTGTGTCGCACTTCTTTTCTTTCGTTATACTTATTTTACATTTAAAACTAAAAATAAATCCCTTAGCTATGAAAACAGCAAAAGTCCTGGTAAAATTACATCACCTTTGGATGGTAGACGCTTCTGGAGGCGATACAACTGGCAAGTTTGTTCCTAAAACAACACGAACGTAAATTAGCAAGTATAAATACTATTGACAAGGAATCTTAGCTACGTGATTAGATTATCCCAAAGCATACAACAAAGGACATACTTTCGTGCTAGGTGATTACCAGAAATGTCATAGCAATCACAGACCCGCTCCTTCGCAACAAAATATTTTGAATTAAGTAGTTACCTGCGGAAAATTCTTCGGGAGTATACCAGGTGGTCATATTGTTATTACATTAGACAAGAACCTTGTAAACCATACTATTAAGGAGCTTCAAATTGAGAAAATATCACATTTTGAACGATGTATACAATGCCAGACACATTTGCATTTGAAAAGAGTGTTTYCTTTACTATTTTTATTGTGACCCCTTGCGTAGTTGCGCTAGCCTGGGAACTACCGGAAGTGACCTATCGTCCTGATCTTGAATGCGCTCTATTGCTCTGAAAGCATTCCGAAAACTGCGCTGAAGGGCAAATCTCAGCATGTTCTCTTTGCCTAAGAGTTGSYAATTGGTTAAAAAATTGTATATCTTGCTTTGATACCAATGAACGAATCGTTCCAAAAACAATTCAGCAATGAACATGGCAAGTACGTCGTAGTTATGTCAGACATGGTACTGACCTCTATGTTTACGTATTTCCGGAATACATACCAACGAACCCTGCAGCTTCAAAGTAATATATCACTCCACAGTCCGATAGCCAGGGATGTCTCCGAARCGACTTTTGCTTTTAGCATTTCTTAGTTGTTTTCAAATCCATCCTCTGTATAGYGAAGATTTAGACGAAGTCGAGTCACAGGAAAGCCAGTTACCGCATTATTTGCGGGACGATGGAATCCGACGCGTTGCTAGTTTGACCAAAGACAACTTCGCTAACACATTGAAGCATAGTAGACTTGCTGTGGTTTTGTTTTATTTGACATCAAAAGATCACCCTGAGTCCGAAAAAGCCTGGGAATCCGACGAAAAATTGTTGGAGGTAGGAGAGTTTTATGAACATGGTTTATTTTCAAGTATGKGATTTTTGTGTGACAGCTTTAGCGCGTAAATAATATTAWCTTCAAATTACAACAGTTAAAGTTGCAATTTCAGTAAATTYTCCGGGCTTTTACTGCACAGCAGTACGTTGAAATTGTRCGGATAATATTTTCATGATACGCTTTAAGGTGTCTGAGAAAGAAAACATTTATTTTGATAAAAGGTTTTGTTATTTGGGGTATTATATTTTGGTTATTTGAAGGTCCATCATTTTTTGAAACTAATCTAACATTCGATCACCTCCCTATTTAGTTAGTCTAGTTAGATTGCGGTATCGGGAATAATGCATTGTTACTCTCAAAGCTCAATTTAAAGTACTTAAAGTAATATAATGAACCTATTGAAAGAAGTTTTAATTTTTCTTGTGGAGTTATCAACTCCCTGCAAAGCCCAGAAATATTCATTATAATATTCAAAATCTCAGTCTATTAGCGTTTTAGCTAATTTTCTTTGTTATGATAAGATAATGATCTTTCTTGGTTAGATTGATTATCGTTTTGATTTCTGTTGATAAGGTGAGCTTCTTCATTTGTTTGGAGTTGATGTAATCTATTCAGCTGTGAAAATTTTATTTGTCCTAATTCAGTTGAACCATTGGGAATACTAACCTCTATCAAGTGATTATATACAAATCAGATTTTTAATTACAGTCAAAATATATATTGGATTGTGCACTGACTTTGGGGCTTTTAATATAGATAACATTCAATATTGCCATAATAAGAATTTTGGTTTTTGAAAAAAAAAAAAGAAAAAAAGACTGAATAGGAAATTGGAAAGAAGAAAGACAAGGAAAATAACTTTACATTAGTGGTATAGCTCTTCACCAATCAATTTTTAAATATTTGTTCAAACAATGAAGAAACACAGGATTGTGTAGTGCTCCATGGAATAATGAAATAGCTTGATTGACAGGCTTCTCAAGATTATTTTGTCAATTTGTCCAAATTTCAATGTTTTAAATTTGATAAATTATTCTACTGCTTTTGGATGTCCTGTTTTTTTATTCTTTCAAGAGAAGAATTCAATAATATAATAGTGACTTCTTCAAAATGTAAAAAAATGTAATTTTAGGGAATTTTTATGAATGAATATTGTTGACATAGACATGCTGTTAGCATGAAAGTAGGAGCTTATTTTTAGACAGTTGGGGGTTTGGGAAAAGTCGAAAATGGGGCTAGGTGTTCTAAGCATGGGTGTGGTCAGTTGCTGTATAGCCACTAACTTGAATTGTCCTTTCCTCCAATTGTATGTGAATCATATATTATGTGTGATCCCCTTTCTATGCCAATATTGGACAGCTGAAATATAGCGCTTTCTTTTATGTAGCTTGTTGGACGAGTTCTTCAACCACAGGGTATCACTGTTGGGAAGGTTAATATTGAGCAACAGTATGAGCTAGCCCAAAGTGTTGGTAAGTTTTGCCAGAAYTWTRGCATTTGCRTYTWTGCCTACCAGGAAAGATGATCCAATTTGCAGCAGGTCYTTTMCTTTTGGGATTCCTGTTTTACAYTTGAAAGACTGGAGGTAKCAAAAACAATATTCTSTCATTGCTACCAGTCTTTMTCTYTTTTGGGTAAAGACAGCTAATAGTTAACAAAAAAAACCTCCATGTAGGTTATAATTCAAATAGATTTTATGATCTTCTTATTGCTCTTTCTATATATAACTGTCAGGAATTAGGTATGCTGGGTCAATAGTGATATTCCATAAAGGAAAACAAGTGGATTACTTAGGTCACAGGTAACATTAGCTATGTAAATAAAATAATTTGTTATTGTCTTCCAAGTGGCAGATTTTGTTATGATGTAAATATTCCATTCAATGACATGGCTGTCAACTGGTTGGACAATAACATTTTATTGTTTCAAAGATTTTGAATGGCTTAGATGGACAGTTATTTCTAGAGCTATCTGCATTTAAACAACTTTGGAGTTTGTTAGATTCAATTACAAATAAAGTAATACTTGAGAACCTGTCCTCTTTTGTTTTTAACTTGCACATTAAATATGTTTTTTTTAGGTCAGCTGATATATTGGTTACTTTTCTTCATAAGGTGAGACTGCCCTATATAAGTTATAGTACATAAGAAGTCAATGTATGTAACCAATATTATACTTTTTACCAGTCACATAATAGTGGCCAGCAGTCAAAAGTTATCAGAATTCAAAAACCAGTCAGTCACTATTAAAACACTAGTGTAGTCTAACACAACTTTTTGTAGATGCTAGAACAACCAATTACTACCATTGATACCAAAAAGCAAAGAAAACTATTTGATGAAATTGAAAGCAGCAAAGTGGTTGGCTTTTTTGACAAAAGCAGCTCTCGTAAGTTTACTGTAAACATATTAATAGCATTATTAAAACTGCAGTAAATTTTTTTATGATAAGGCCACTTTCATTACAGTTTTGGTGTCACTTAATTATTGGAGAAAGTATTAAATGAGCTGACACTTTTGTTCTGGAGTGCTTTGCTTTACTAAAGCCCTCTGTACCTGTAATATTTGCAATATTTCTTAGCAACAGCATACTTGATGTAAAATAAGCTTATATGATGAGTCTATTAAAAAAAATTTGCATGTGAATAAATTGCAGGTAAATTACATTCAAATTTCTTATTATGATAATTGTTGCATGAAGGTATTAATATACATAATGTACAATAAACTGTGTTAATTTTAGAGTATAAAGAATATCATGAAGCAGCAATGAACTTTCAGCCATTAATACCATTTTTTGTAGTCACAGATAAAAAGGTAAACAATATTAATATTGCTTTTAAAACAATGGTTTCTGTTGCATAGCACATTATTATCATTTCCTTTTATTTTATGTCTTACAGCAAGCCAAACAATTTAGATTGAAAAAAGTTAATACCCTTCAGTTTTACAAGCCATTTGAAAAGCCAATTGCCTTCCCATCTAATAAGGTAAAGTACATGTGTTTTTTATTCAGTCGAGGATACAAATTGTTGGTCACGTTCAAGAATGCATATCACATATGTATCAAGTCCTTATTAATTTAACAGCTTTATGGATACATTACCATGAAATTTGCTTAAGGCATTCTCATTTAGTTCTCATTTTTCTAGGCAATTACAGAAGACAATATAAAAGATTTTATAGAAAAGAATAAAAAGTGAGTATCTAGTAACTGTTATTAAAATAAATTTTGCATACATTTATCATAGCTCATCTTCTCTTTTAGAGAGATTCTTGCAAAAATTAAACTGGAAAACATACACGCCGTGTGGGTAAGATAAAAAACTTGATATATTTTGTCTAGTGGAGCATGCAGGTATAGACTGACCAATCTGACAAGCTTTGGAACATCCCCCACAGAAACTGATATATTCACTTTGACATAATATAAATTTATATATCCACTGAAATGTAGTTATATCTGAATTCCTTTAATAGTCTGCTAAAGCTAAAGGTTTTCTGATCACTGCATTTGTTCGACCAAAAACAGAAGGTATTACTGTACATAGTTTTACAAAATACAAATTATTTTATAATTGTTTTAACATTGTGATAATGTTGTGAGTTTGAAAGTCTTCAATACTATTATTTTCAGAAGGTGCAAAGTTTTTTTCTTTAGTCAAGAACCTGGCAAGAGGCTTTAAAGAAAATGACAATCTTACATTTGTGTGGGTTGATCCAGATCCTTTCCCAATGGTATGATGAACATTGCATTCAACTTACATTTAGTTTATATGGAATCTTTAAACACTGATTAAATAAACTGTGCTTTAATTTTATTTAGATGCGTGAATATTGGCAAAAGTCGTATAAAATAGATGTGACTAAACCATCTCTGGGTGTTGTAGATCCAAAACAGGCAAGTGCATACA